GACTTTCATAGCTGCAGGGTCTGATGAGCTCAAAATAGGCAGGTAGACAATGAGTAGAATAGGAGAACACATCCAGGAATTGTTTTGTGCTGTTTTGCATAGGTTCAGTAGGCCAGGCTTGTGGCTGCAGAGGCTAATGGATCCAAGGCTAGCAGGTAAGATGGCAGGCCACTGATGACTCCCAGTATCTATAGGCAGCATGACAGTTTAAGTCCAAAGATGGGAAGGTCAATTGGCCAGATACAGAATCCAGATCTAGTGAAAACATGCAAGCTTTTCCACATTATCTACTTATATTGGAAGCAGGCTGAACTCTCAAGGAGATCTTATCTTGGGGATTACTTAACTGCCAAGCCACTGAGAATCAGCCCAACCAAGCTGACAGAAAAACTTAACTATCACAGTTATCGGTGTTTGAGATTACAACATTATGTTGATTCCCCACCTCTTGATACTTTTTTCCTTATGAGTTTTTTTGAGTTTTCTAACTTGAATAAAATTATATAGAAAATTTTCAAACACAAAGTTAGAATAGTATAGTAAAATTGTGTGTACCCATCACCAACAATTAGCAATATTTTGTCAATATTGTCAATTTAAACAATATTGTCAATTTAGTTTCATCAACTTTCCCCAATAATTTTCTCCAATTGGACTATTCTAAAGCAAATCCCAAACATGTCATTTCATTTTAGAAAATATTTTAGGAGGGGGAAGTTCAGTGATTATTATCATGCAGATTTTCATGCTATAATGGTTTAGATTTATTCATTGATTTGACGTATTGATCAATTTAAGGTATACTTACTTATGAACTAGTCTACAAGTACTAATTTTCTTTTGAGTCAAAGCATTCTAATTCGTGGTGACCTTGATGCACATGGTTAATGCGATCCACTACTAACCAAAAGTTAAAGGTTCAAGCCCAACCATAAGCACACAGAAGAAAGGCCTGACAGTCTACTTCCAAAAAATCAGCCACAGAAAACCCTATGGGGTTCTATTCTGGCACTGGGAGGTCATGTGGACTACTGTCTCCATTGCAAACCCGGGAAGGTTTCCAGGGTAGAAGGCCTGCATACTGGGAACCACAGTCTTAAGATATGGAGCTTGTCAAACACAAATCTCCCTCGCAGATGTTGTGAATAATGTATACTTTATGTTGAATTTACACTTTATACTTCATGTTGAGTGAATTTCTGATTTTATTTATTTCCTTGAGGCATAATTTGTGACAAATGTTTACACCTGTGTAGTAGTCAAAGTACTAATTCCGATAGAGAACATTTCCTTCGCTTCAGAAAGTTCGCAGTGATCGACCACATCATCATACACGCCTCTCCAGGGGGGAGAACAACAGAAAACATGGGGGAAGGGAGAAAACAGTCGGTGTGAGATATGAAAATAATAACAATGGACAATCTATCAAGGGTTTATGAGGGTGGGGGGGGGGATGGGGGAAAGAGAAGCTAATTCAAGGGCTCAATAGAAAGTAAATGTCTAGAAAAGAATGAGGACAACATACCACATATACTTGTGTATGAGCCAAG